TACGTGTAATTTAAATTAAAGTAAAATTAGTGTTACTTTTGTTGTTGCAGATTAGATGACAAATAACTTATGTTAGGGTTGTAAGATGTTACTTTTAGCAGAATGCATGCTGAACTGGAGGTATCTGTCAAACGATTTCTAACCGAGTTTTTAATGTTATTCATCTCTGAAAATAATGACTCGCAGGCATAGGTTGAGGAAAAAACATTGTTAAAATAGCATAAGCCAGCTTCTTCAAACAATTAAAAGTGTTTGGTAACGCATTTCATGTTTCCAAAATTTTGTTATTAGCGTTTTCACTTGTATTACCTGCCAATTTTTCTGTTTTAATTAGTTTCCTTGTTTCAATAAAGTTTTGGATCCATATTGAAATAGACTTTATGATTGATATTAGTGACGTGCCCAAAATATTGTGTCGCGTGCCATTGGTTCGCCATCCCTGCTCTAGGCCATGCCGCTCGGTTCTGTATGTAAACTACCACAAAGCTACCGAATGTTTTGAAACATATCATTAAGGGTCTATTGAACTATCTAACTAATAGAATGCTTGAGAAATTCAATAATTTTTCCTAAATATTTACCAGACATATAGCAAGTATCAAAATTTGATCACTGTACAACACAAAGCCGATGTTGTTATTTATTTTTTTTCGCATTGTATTTCCTAACAAATAGTTCATTGATTCTCTGCTTTTTCATATGAATGGGAAGGACTTCTATAATCAAGTTTTAGTTGCCTGTTTACATTATTTGCTGTTTATTATTAAACAAAAAAAGTAACATTTAATACATATTTTGACTAGAAGAAGAAATAAGTTGTTGGCAATATTCTTTATGTACTCTATTGCCTGAAGAAGACTTGGCACAAAATCTAGCCCCTGTCGCATTCTAACATTTTTATTTTATTAAAATTATAGTCAATCATATTGATAGTTTGATGTCTCATGAACTTTTTTTAATTTGGGTTTCTTAAAAAATATTGATTTGAAAACTGTTATGTATAAATTAGTGAAGAAATGATTACCTTTTTTACGCACAAAGTATCTTTCTCGCATATTATACAATTTTCCTAAATATTTAATGCGAAATATATGCGTATAAACAAGTAAATGAGCAATTATTCAGCAGGTTGGTAGGTCGCAAAAGTTGGTCGATATCTCAATGATGTAGGTACGAAGCGCTTCTTATAAATTAACTTTTGTTTTATTAAATAAAAAAACGTTTCTCATCTGCCTAAAAATTAGTGATACGAGACCGCACCGATTCTATTGCACGTCTCATATCGTCATNTATGAATTTATTAATAATTTTTATTGACAATTTTTTTTATTAAATTTTGTTTTCTTTAAAATGAAAAAACAGTTTCTAGTTCAAACAGAGCCGGAGCTATGAATTCTTAATAGCCAAAAATCTCAAGTTTTCGATCGCTTCTATTTCCCAAAATACTGAAAAAAATCCTCGAACTTTTTTTCGATATAAAACCCGTAAATAATAAAATTTCAGCCAGATCAAGTACACACAATATGTATTGTTACAAAGCAAAATGTAGTGGTCTTTTTTTATGATATTCATACAAAATTTTGCGCAAAGTGCAAATATTTATTCACCATTATTATTATCAGGTACAGTCAACTTTTAAATTTACTTATTTTTTGCCTATATAAAGCGATAGTTCAGAAGTGCTTTTTCTAGATAATAACTAATTTGATTCGTTGTGAATAAAGGCGTTAAAACTAAAGTTAGTGTTTAAAAACAAAGTCAGTGTTTAAATCATAATTAAGTGCCTATTTATTTGTGAAATCCTAATATTTAACACTGGTTAGTTAATTCTTTTAGAGATGTATGAATATTGAAAACAAAAAGAAACAAGCAATTCTGGTGTGAAGGTTTCGTTAATTTAGTTTTATATTCTATACACACCATTGTTTCGCTTTAAGGTGATACCCTTCCTTAGGCTTTATATTAATTGATGACTTTTAGTCCTGAGAAAGCCAAAAGGCAAACCGTTGGTGTTCATGTTATAAAATTTAATTAATAAAAACCGTCAACCCAGAATTGCTTGTTTTTCCAAGATATTTAATATTTTCGGCTTGATCGGGAGCATAGAAGTGATCCCATCTTCTACTGTTCGTTTCAAGATGTTGGAGATATGCCCCTTCCCTTTATTAGGATGCGTATGTAGTGATGCCGAAGTAAACGCCATCTGTAGTATCTGAGCATACGTAATCCTAAAATGTAGCATCGTGCTACAGATGGCGTTTACTGCGCCATTTGTAGTATTTTCTAAAACGAACTGTTAAGACAGCAGGTAAAAGTTGGTCTGTGTTCTGTCGGAGCTGNAAAACTTTTGCTTTGTTTTCTATTGTTAATTTATATACATTTTTGTTTTAAGAAATTGCTAAACATTTTCGTCTAGTACTGTACAGTTCTAGCCGATCTCCTAAGATCGCCCATCGAAAGCTCTGCTCGTTCAAGCTTGTTCCAACTATTTCCGTCTTGCTCACGCCTAGTGTGTATTCTTTCTATCTTCGCGCAGATTTCTTCAAGGTCACAATTCTAGCAAATTGAAATAGACTGTAGATCGTGTGTTTTGTGCTTCTTTCGTTCCTTCCATCTTGAGTTATTTGACTTTACATATATACCGAAAATCTAATCTTTTGTGTTCCATTTTTCTATTAACCATTTCCCTTATGCTTTAACCTCTCGTTCATACTGTACTGTGTTCTACAATTATTTGTTTTGGTGCCATAATCGTTTGTCAATATCGTTTCCATTTTACTTGACTCAACCTCTAACGCCTCCTTGCTAGATATTATTCTTTTGTCCCACTGTATATCTATATCTATTTATCTATCACTAGTGCTATTCTGTCTTTAATGACATAAATTCCACCTTCGATATATTGATTGAAAAGTAGCGGTGGCATTGTGCATCCTTGTCTAACTTCCTTCCAAACATTTACTTCTCTAAGATGCTACTTGTTGCTCTTCGTATAAACATGTCACTCTTCTATTTTTGTAACTTATTCCTAGCTTTTAATTATATCTAGCACTTTCCCCATTTAACATCGTCAAGAGTCTTTTCTAGATTTATGAATCCTATGTACGCGCTTTTTTACTTTTCTGTAGTTTCCATTCTTATTACTAATGAGCTCAAATAACCTAAAATGACTTCAAACGTTTCCCTATTTCTTCTCAACCAGAATTAGTAATACTCCTAGCAATTGTTTTGTCTATTCCATCATATTACGATTCTAGTTATAATTTTTAATGTATGGATAGCATCTAACTGTTTTAAACTATTATCTATCCGCGCCTGCCTTTTTTGGTATGCTGACTACCATGTCCACAATGGCAAAAAGGATAATGTACGTCAGAGCACAATTTTAATTAATTTTGTAAACGCAAATGACAAAAACTTCATTCTTCTCAGAATAACATTCTCGTGCCTTCTCAACCTATAATCAAAAGTTACACTTAAATGCTAACAGTTGAATCATTCAATTCTCTTATTATCCATCTTCACATGAAGAACCTCCAGGATTCTGTCCATGCAACATCCGAAAGTTATATAAACTGTCTTGGCAATATTTAAAATTAAATAATTTTGCCAGCTGTGTGGTGGTTGCATGTCGGTAGCTGTATTGGTATGGGGATAGGGATACAGTGATTAAAAATGGTAGACCTAGGACATTTTCGTATTTCGATTAAAGTGTTTGGTGTGTGGGTTTGTGGATTTACCATCAGTCACCAAAGATCAGTTTATAATAATTAAGAATATACTAGAACGCTCTTGAATGCTTCTAGAGTTTCTACAGATAGAATATTCTTGAAAATTGACCTTAAGTCGAAAACGTTTGAGAATATTTGATGGTCATTACGTGCGAGTGGTGGGGCTAACTTCTGACACTACATTAGGAAATTTTTACATATTTGGTCAAATAAAAATTGCTTGAAATCTCTTCCATGGGTTTTTGTAGGTCGACCAGCAAAGTGAGAACATATCTACTTAGAATGCTCTTGAATGTTTCTAGGTCGGTTCTCATCTAGAACGTTCTCGAATTTTTAGAGTTGTTGCAAGTAAAATGTTTTAAGGTTTCTTCATTCTAGTGTATGTTTGGGTTTATGAGCCAAGCCCCAAACACCAATTAGAATAAGTGAGAATGTATACCCAGTGAAGGAGGTTGTCGTTAGTTAGTTAAAAATAACAGCGAACCAAGATTAGTTTCCTGTGGTACTCCGACAATCAGTATTTTCATTATCCTAAGATATTGCATCCTGATCCGCAGATAACTTAACATTATCTCTTCATCTCCTCTCTTATGCCAATTCAATGCAGCTCATATAAAATCAGATTTTTTCAAACTTTCTTGTGTTTTAATATTTAAAGCTAAATCAAAATTAATTTATCGATAAATGCTATCATTAATGTAAAAGTACTTTTTTGTGCTGAAACAATTAATGAAATTAAATAGGCTATTAGAACGAAACAATTCTGGAAAAGACTTAACAATTATTACAAAAAATTCGCGTGGAATATTGTCTACGTTCGTATCTACTACATTATTTCAATAATTAATAGATATAAATTATATTATAGCTGAATAACGGCCACGCGCCTGCATATGTTGAAAATATAAGATATATAAGTTTTATCATTACCTTTGTATGTAAACAGGTACTTTTAAATAAATCTTTGCCTCATCACTTATCAACCAGGAAGTGTAGGTATACTTATTAAATATCATGCTTTCGTACATTATTGAGCATTAAGTGATATATATGTGAATCAAGTCGAACATAACGCAAGCCAAGATGATCTGCAAGCACTTCTTAAGTATTATATTTTTCTTAACACTAACAAGTGCTGATATTGAAGACGATCTGGATTACTATGAACAACTAATAAAGGAAAACATTGAAGAATCCAGGTCTCATCAAACGCCAACGTCATTTCAAGAATTCCAATTGACGGACAAAAATGCAGTTCCAACCAGTATGTATCCATATGTTGGCCTATTTTTCTAGCATTACATAATTACTAAAATATACGAATAAAATTATTTCTTTTGTTCACTTTCTAATTCCTTATTGAGCCTTATCAATTTGTCTATACTTAAGTCATTTAGAATTTTTTATATATTTCACTTCCTTTAATTTCTACATATTAGAAGTACCTACAACAATCATATTTTCAGGGTTTGGAAGGTATGACTTTATAATAGTTGGAGGAGGTACTGCGGGAAGTTTGTTAGCAAGACGATTATCAGAAGTTAAGTTGTGGAATGTCTTGGTAATCGAGGGGGGTGCACATGGGGATAAATTTACAGAGATACCTGCCATGAGTAATTATACGTTGACTTCAGACTACAACTGGGGCTTCACCACGACGCCACAAAAAACATCGTGTCTAGGTAACCATAAATTATTTGAATAAAATAATTCGAAGTGGTCTGTATTCTGTCGAAACTGCCAGACGCGGATCGCGATTTCGATCTTTTTGGATCTCATCAGCGCGTCGCAGGCAGCTCCGACAGAACACAGACCAACTTTTACCTGCTGTCTTAACAGCGCGTTTTAGAAAATACCACAAATGGCGCGGTAAACGCCATCTGTAGCACGATGCTACATTTTAGGATTACGTATGCTCCAACAAGGTCCATTTAAAACGCGCTGTTAAGACAGCAGGTAAAAGTTGGTCTGTGTTCTGTCGGAGCTGCCAGTGACGCGCTGATGAGATCCAGAAAGATCGAAATCGCTATCCGCCTCTGGCAGTTTCGACAGAATACAGACCACTTCGAATTATTTTATTCGATTATGGTAACGTGTCTATCACGTTGAGATTAACTACGCCGGGATTCGTTTTCAGCAAGTAGATATCCACACAAGTGGACCTTGTTGGAGAATACGTAATCCTAAAATGTAGCATCGTGCTACAGATGGCGTTTACTGCGTCATTTGTAGTATTTTATAAATTATATAACAGTTATATGCAAAAAACATATTGTTTACCAGTTCCAGGAATTCCTGATCAACGGATGCGAGTGCCACGAGGAAAGGCTCTTGGAGGAACGACAGTTATAAACGGTAACGCGTTCTCACGCGGGTTTCCTTCAGACTACGACAGATGGGGTGCTAAAGGCCTACCCAGTTGGACGTATGAAAATGTCCTCCCATATTTTAAAAAGTTTGAAAACGCCTCCTCTTTAAGAGGAATAGATACTGAGTACCACGGATTTGATGGACCGCTGGTTGTAGAAAACACCAGAAATACTAGCGAACTATCTGAGATATTCATCAGATCCATTAAGTCATTCGGATATAATCTTGTTGATTATAATGGCAGAGATCCCATTGGTGTTGGATATATGCAAACAAGTACTCGAAACGGTAGACGAAATAGTGGAGACAGTGCATTTCTAAGTCCAGTTGAAAGAAGAACTAATCTAAAATTACAAATCAACAGTTTAGTGACAAAACTATTGATTAAAGGTAACACTGTAAGAGGAGTTGAATTTATAAGCGGAAATAAAAAGTATAGAGCCTATGCTAGAATTGAGGTGATCCTGTCGGCTGGTTCCTTTCAGTCTCCGCAAATTTTGATGCTTTCCGGAATAGGTCCGAAGAGTGAACTATCCAAACACAATATATCTGTCAAATTAGATCTTCCAGTGGGACTTAATCTTCGAGATCAACATCAAACCACAATTATTGGTTGGACCAACATTTCAGTACCTGTGACACCGAGAGAGGCCATAGCACAATATCTACGAACAGTCGGCCCTCTGACTATAACTCAGGGAATGCAGCTCGCAACATTTTGCAACACAAGCTACAGTCCAGTGGAGTTAGTAACCATAGTATACAACAGACTTGGGATGATAAATGGTTCTCTTTCTTACGTTATCACAAGGGCAACTGCATTCGCTCATTTGTTAATGTTTCTTCATCCCAAATCCGTCGGAAGTGTTCAGCTGGCTTCCGATGATCCCTTACAGCATCCTATAATAAACCCAAATTATCTCCAATACGAAGAAGAAGTCGAAACCATCGTTGAAGGTGCCCAATTTTTAATGAAGATTTTGGAAAACGAAGAATTTCGAAAGTATAACCTTACGATGACCAGAGACCCCAATTGTAGAAATTTTACTTTCAACAGTAAAGATTATTGGAGATGCGTCGCTCGTTGTTCTGGAGAGCCAGGAAATCATCCCAGTGGAACGTGCATAATGGGCGTCAGTCCTAAAGATTCGGTTGTCAACGAAAGGCTTTTGGTCCACGGGATGAAAAACCTTAGAGTGGTCGATGCCAGTGTAATTCCTGTTAATTTGAATGGACACATGTATGCCACGGCTTATATGATTGCCGAAAAAGCGGCAGATTTCATCAAACAAGATTATGGAATAATCGACTCCAAAACATGAACTTTACCATTTACATCATTGTCACTTACCTATTCAGAAGTATACAGTACACAGATCGAGTGATTTTTTTTGTCATTATCTTAAAATACTGGGTATATAGATCCTTAATTAAGTGAATTTTATGATAATAAACGCACTCGTCCTTTTTTTAATAAGTACTACTTATATTGAAAATGATATTGATAGGTAATTAATTAATACACTTAACCCATAAATCCTTTATCTTCCATGACATAGCAGTTCCTATCGGTTTATAGAAGTAGATACAAATAAGATAAACAACTACAATCGGAAAATTTATGGGAAATTTGCGAAGCAATAATTATTTTCAACATTTCTGTTGTTGTCCTTGAAAATTGAGTTCAAAACTTTTAGTGATTTCTCTAAATGGTAACAGAGATGTGATTTATTCTAAATACTTGCATTTAATATGCAAATACAAAATAAAATATATCTATTTTAATTTTGCATTTAAATACTTTTTTGAGAAAAGCATTTTGTATTTTATTTGAAATACTTTTCAAAAGCAATTTTTCATCAAACATTATATAGAATGATGAATAAAAGTTGTTCACATTGACCATTGAAGGTATTAGAAGCTTCAATAGTGGACAAAGAGGCATTCCATAAATGCCTTGTAATTCTTTAACTGAAGAGAGCCCAAAAAATTCTAAACTCCTTGGAAATGGATAATCTAAAATATTGAATCGATATTGTTTTCCGGGTTCAATGTCATGGTCCATGGAATTTTAAAGTTCCAAATTGATATCAGCACCCGCCAAATCACCACTTATCGTACCTTTAGTAAGGAACTACGAAATTCTATGAATTACGACAAAACAGCCCGCAAAACAATATCGAATTGATATACTCCAGCTGTGTAAAACTAAAAAATTTAAGATATTGTGTTGTGCTAATAAATGCATATAATCCAAAATTTTTAGAAAACGATTCGAAAAACTTCACCTATCAGATGAACTCAAAGGTAGAGAAACTATGAATTCCATTTCTATCTTTTATTACAATGTGTAAAAGATGAGAAACAAAATGGGGTTGTAAATATTTTGATATAAAATTATTCATGTTGATTTTACATCAATAAAATAGTTGGGTTTGACAGCTGTACCAAAAGGAGTGTAAGACTTGAACAACTACAGAGATGGTAAACGGTACAATGCGGAAAGCCCTTCAATAAAATTTAATATTTATCTCCTTACTGTGAAATATACGTATTTCATATATAAGTTAGCAAAAATGAAGCATATATAATGCATGTGTATTATACAATAGATGCTGTGTTAATTTTTTATGACAAAAGATAACTGTAATCAAAGTAAAATATTGTAAATGGGAACTTCCCTGATCATTTTGTTTTCTATCTTATCATAATTATACTATTACAAGTGATGCCTATCTGGCTTAATTATTAAAAATAAATAATAAACACTTATGAAAAATTAATTAAAAATAACATAAATGATTTGCCGACGACGTGATGTTTGTGTCAGCGGTTAATAGACCGCTATTGATTCGTGGAATATATTTTTGCTACACTTGCTATATACAAATTAAGTTGCAGATATAATAAAAAAAAATATAATGGAATATAAATAGCTACGTGAATGTACTGATAATAATTTAATGTTTTCCTCAAATAGTTGTGTGACACAAGTTAAATTTCATATAATATGAAAATTAATTTTTCGATTTTTTTTACCCACTACAAACTACCTTAGGTTAATGAGGAAAAATTGTTACTGTTATCACAACCTCGCCGGGAATCGAACCCGGAACCTTTGCCTTTACGCACCAATGCTCTACTATTTCATATAACATAGTACCACCGTTTATGTTTTTTATTTCTGGGAACACAGCCCTTCAGTATTTACATTATATATTATTTGTCGATGATATAGGAAATATTTCCTGTTATTCTGCGCCCCAGGACTTTTAAGGCTTCTATGTGGGCGGGTACGTAATCATTGGCGATGGTCGCTCGCCAGGAAGGCATTAAACTCAGAATTCCGCAGATTAGCAAAAGTGGCCAAAGCATCCAAAAAATTACCTGGAAATTGGAAAACTAAAAACTCATTTTTACGGTAACCCTCACATCATCCTAACGAATATTACAAATGCGAACGAATTTGTTGGTCTGTCGGCTTTTCACTCCTTAACTACACCACCCATTATTATGAAACTTTGTAGAGACATTATCAGTGGTATACAAAAGGACATAGGGTACCTTTTATCCAGAAAAAATACTGTTCCCGAAGGATACAAAAATTAGTTTTATGTGACCGATGTTACGCTTTAACTGCTCAACTAGGCACATTGTCATGGGTACATAAAATGACATAGGGTACCATTTATCCAGAAAAAAGTACATACATTTGTGGCGTTTTTTTTTTAAATAATACTCTAGAGCATATAACGGAACAGTTTAATTGTTACTGAGCCAAAATTAAAAAAATAAAACAAAGAAGGTTATATCACTAAGTACAGTTAGATCAAAGTCGTAAGCAAACTACATTATAAAAAATGTTTCGACGCGATGCAATTTACTTGCCCATCCCATTCTCTATTGCAGCCTAAAAATAAAATGAATAAATGACAATAGTATCTATACATCTTTAGGGTAGAGTTCCAAAAAGGGACACCATCCGATTACAACATACTTTGTTACGGATTTCATTATACTAAATGTTCGTAGCTGAAAGGATTTTTAATGATCTGAATTATAGCAACTGAAAATTTCTTATTTATTTATTTTTTCGTGATAATTTAAACGTATTTTATTAAAAATAATAGGTAAATCCCTTTATCTTATCTCCCCAAGCAGGTGTAGGATATCAAATCCGCTTGTCATGTAGTCAAAAGTTCTTTCAGGGTTTTCCCGTTCACTTAGAGAAATGTACACTAAGTGCGTTGACCACTTTCATGAGCGTAACTGTTAGAAGCCATTTACGCCCCCAGAGCCTTACGATTGGTCTATGATCGGACACATATGACGGTAAACGATCGATCATATTCCGAGGCTGCCTACGGGTAATGTTAGTTTGTGCGCATCACCCATGCTGTACCTTTCTCTAAATGGACAGAATATATCATCATCTATTCTATAACAGAGTACATGGTAAAAATTTGCAAGCTAAATGGAGAGGAAGAGGATGTTAAGAAAAGCTATCTCTCACTCTCTCTAATACACTAAATTCAGTTTTTCCTTTATAATGTGAAATCCAATTAATGTAGATACATTGGGCTTAATTATAATGGGAAACTAACTTTTAATATCGTTGAAATTACAACCCATGCACCAATTCCACAAAGTCCTGCCAAAATGACAGCTTGCAATTCGCCATCCTTGAGATATTCGATAATTGGGAGAATAAGAGCATTTGCTTGATGCATTCTCACATTTCTCGTTTGTTTCTCGGACATGTGTGCGGCTGTTTAAGGGCTTCCGTTTCTTATTTGAGCTAACACGTTGACAAGCTGATTTCTCGGCGTCAATTTTGATCACTAAATGAGACGGTTGCCAAGGCTTTTTCAGGACGACGAACTTCTACATTGACAAGCTTGACATTAAATACACTTGTCAATCTCAAATTACCTATTACTTAATTTTAATAATTTGAATCCTAATTAGAAAGAGGAGACTGTGGTAAATATTAATTAAAAATTAAAAGGAATACTCACCCCCAATTACCACAAATAATTTTATTTGAGCGGACACGTGTTTCGCCCACTTCATACGTGGGCATTATCGCGTTGAATCCTACCTCTACTGACTGGAAAAATGAGCTTTTATAGCAAAATTATACATTTCTAAAGAAGGATTTAATGCTAGATACACCAGAGTTAACGTAAATTGACTTCAACTATAAATTAGTTGAGCGCGTGAGGTTGTTTAGGGTAGGTTTAGACCATTGCTTAGCATTCAGGAGGCCGTCGGTTCGATTCCGGGTCCGTCTGGCTTGGTCCAAGTTTTCTGTGATTTCCTTGGATCACATAGGCAAATGCTGAGGCAGTGATGATATTCCACAGATAATCTTTCTCACCCGAACCACCACCCACTCATTTCCACGATTCATTAAAGTAGGCTGAAGAGGGCCTTCTGCCCTACTTTCGGCCAGAAGGAGTGCCCGCCCACCAGCAGTACTGGCTGGTGGGAAAGAAACCAGGCTATTATAAAGCCGACCCTGGTCTTTTGCGTACCTAAACAACCTCCAACCGCTGCACCTCTTATTGCTATTCGGTTGTTATCTCATTTCACTTTGTACTACTCACGAAGCATTTCCTTACTTAACAAGGGCCTGTTCAAAACACATCAAATGACTACAGCCCGAGTATAATCAAGAAAGAAGATAAGTCCATTCTCACAGATAATTTATTGGGGACTTTGCCAATTGTCATCGTCACAACTATAGTTCGAGTTTTTCTGTGGTTTTTAAGAATCACTTGGGCAGTAATATTGTACGGAATTTTTTTTTACCCTTTTCTACCTCCTTTCGTACGTCTAATCTTTATCAGCCCAATAACCATCACCACCCATTTCCACTTTTCCTTCAGAAGGCTCAAGAGGGCCTTCCTCAGGCGTAATCTGAAGGGACTATCCACTACTAACATCAGTAGCTAGTGGGAATGAAACATCCGAAAGTTTTTTTTTTTTGAGGTACTCCAGATACTATCTAATTTGTAATTATGTCACCCAGCACACGTTTGAGATTTTGGCTAGTCTTATAGTCTAAGAGCTGAGAACGAGGCGAACGACATCCGGAATGTATACAAATTTTTTAGTAACATTTTAGGTTAAAGGCTGGGGGATTACGTTGCAATGCGGGCGTCTATTCGAACAAAAGGGGTGGCAGACAGGGCTAAAGTAGTTAAAAGTTATGAATTCCGAAGAGAGCATGTAATATTTTAACTGCTGCTTCTCATTATGTCGAAAAAGATTTTAGACAAGAGTCGTATTTATTTTTATTACAGTTTTGAATAAATCTTTTCTTACTTCAATATATTTTTTGCTTCATCGTTGACAGTTGACGATTTTCATTTTGTTATCGTATTTCCTAAATAAACCTTGCAAAATTACCTAATCCTGCTATAACGTGTTGTCTATTCAACACAATAATATACAATAATCACTAAAAGCCCATCTAAAACCGGATAGTCGTTCCCCCTTTGTCATAAAGGTCCTCAAATGGCAAACATCGACGCCCTTTGCGGAAGTAACAAAGTCCCCTATTCGGTTCGCTGTCAATCTTAACACAAATGCAAGTGTATGACAATAAAATGCACGGGGTAGCATCCCTTTGATCCGCGAAACACGGTAATATACGTCAGGGATTTGAACTACGACTGCTTTGCCGTGCCATAGCCAACTTTATGCGCCTCAAGCAACTTATATAGTACATATATATACATATATTTTACTTCTTGCTCATCCCCTTTTGCTTTAAAACTTGACTTGCTCCTTCTGATGTCTAGGTCTTTGAAAGTACATCCAAAACATCTTGGAATGTAAATACGAACTGGAAGCAAATGTTTTCCTTGTTCTGCATGCCAGGTTATATAAGGGGTAGCACGAAACTTTGCTTTGTTTATTTCTCATGAAGGTATAGTATATGTAGCTACCCTCTCATAGAACTTCCACAGAGCAAGCCGTCTATGGATTTTCTAATTTTTTCAATAATGAGATTGTGGATATAGCATCTACCAAGGAGGAGTTAAAGATAGCTTTAAATGAAATATTGACAAAATAGTACTGTGTGAAACAAGAATACTGATATGCAAGGGAAGAAAAAGTAGGGAATGAGTGAATGTAAGGACAGGAGACGAAAAATTAGAAAAGGTGGTTGATTTTCGATGAATAGGACGTCAGATAACTCAAGATGGAAGGAGCAGTAGAGATATAAAACAGAAGTGTTGGATCGAGCCGCCTTCTTTAACAAGAAGAGGTCACTTCTATGCTCACGAGCGGTTAATTTAAAAATTCGAAAAAGATTGTTAATGGTGTATGTTTGAGATGCGGCGGTGTACGAGAGTGTAACATGGACACTGGGTGCATCAAAAAAGAAAAGGGTAGAAGCGTTCGAAATGTGGTGTTACTTGTGAATGATGAGGATACCGTGGATAGAGAAGGTTAGAAATGAGGAGATTTTAGAAAGAGTAGGAGAATAGAGGGCGCTATGGAAGTCAATAAACAATACGACACCTTCTCAGGCATGAGTTAGAGTTAGAGACATATTAAGACTGACGGCCTTCATCTCACTATCTATTGAAGTTAGTGTTACAGTGTAAAATGAAGAGGTTACAGGTGATCTAAAGATTTACATAAATAAATTAAATTAATAGTTATCTTATCATTTTTAGTTCCTAATTGGGTGGTATACTCGAGTTGAGTGCTTATCGGATACGGTACAATAATCAAGTTTACACCGCAACATTTCTACGCAGTACAGTGGCGATAAATTTTCCACAGTTTTTTCCTGTTTGACAGATTTTGCAGCCTTTTCTGCAGTTATGTAAATTAGCACAGACAAGTCTTTACTCAATGATAGTAGAGTATGATATTACACTGGCATCGACTACATTAAGGTCTTTTGTTCTATGAACCAAAAGCTTTTCATTGAAAACCGAATCATCAGGTCTCATTCCTATTATGCAAGTCCCACTGGAATGATTTCCTGACGATCCAGAGAAATGAGTAACATATTTCCAATAATCTTTACTGTTGAAAGTTAAATTTCTACAATTGGGGTCCCTAGCCCTTGTAAGGTTAAACTTTCGATATTCTTCGCTTTCTAAAGTCCTCATTAAAAATTCGGCACCTTCAACGATGGTTTCAACTTCTTCTTCATATTGGAGATAATTTGGGTTTATGAGAGGATATTGTAAGGGATTAGCAGAAGACAGTTGAATACTCTCGATAGGTTTAGGATGAAAAGACATTAATAAATTCAGTTATACTTTCAGTATCCTCTCAATGCAAGTGGATTACAGTATTACACTGGCATCGACTACTCTGCTCCATGAATCTCGTTAGCAACCGAATTTTCGAAATTCCTGCAAGTGCCATTGGGATGATTTTCGGCGTTAGTGAAATTACCACACTAATCGTCCTTGTAAAGTTAAGCTGTTAAAATGATCCGTTAACACTGGTTAAAAAATGTAAACCTTGTCATTGGTTTCATTCATTACATTCTTCTATCTGGGGACAATTTGGGTTAATGAAAGGAAACTGTAAAGAATCAGTCGAAATCAAATAAACAGTCCTGGTGAATTTTGGGTGGATGAGTGTTTTTTGTGAATCCGAACAAAACAAAAAAACACTTGAAAGTTACAGGTACATATTTGTAATTAACGACAATCATAGGTGCGACATATATACGTTTATCAGGCAAAACTTAATCAGTTAATTTAACTAGGTATTTGAAAAAAATAATAATTGAGGTAATGTATACTTTAACAACTACACGCGCTTCTCGCAAGGAACGTTTCCGAATTTTTTTTTAATAAGAAGAAGTAAAATTATCATTATTATCAATACTGTTCATTGATAATGTGAGGATTATTTTTATTTCTGTTAATATGTATTTTACATCTACTTAATAATATTGTTACGAATGTCTGTCTTCAGGCGAGCATCGGGTCGAAACTAAAAAAAAAACTTTTGGGTGTTTCATTCCCACCAGCCAGTAATGCTGGTGGGCGGGCAGTCCCTCCGGACTACGCCGGAAGGTAGGGCGGAAGGCCCTCTTCAGCCTGCTTTCAGGAATCGTGGGAATGGGTGGGTGGTGGTTCGGGTGAGAAAGATTATCTGTGGAATATTACTGCCCCAGCATTTGCCTAGGTGATCCAAGAAAACCGCAGAAAAGCTTGGACCAAGGCAGACGAACCCGGAATCGAACCGGCGTCCTCCCGAATGCTAAGCAATGGTCTAGACCTCTAGGCCATATGTAGCTATCTCTCTCGTAGAATTTCCACATTTCTCGATTGGCTTTTATTATTTAAATTGTCAGGTTGAGGTTATGTAACTGCAGAGTTTGCTATGGATTTCTTTCACTACTGTAGGACTTGCGTTCAAAATATATTAATTTGAACTAATGTTCGTGTGTTATTATAACATATGTTTTCAATACCTAATAATGGCATAATGCACGAACGCACCTTCAACGTTTGTGTTGCTCGAAAACCATTGTTCGTGTGTTTATTGTTCAGATAATAGAAAAAAAATCAATTTCAGTTGCGGAGAGTCCATATGGTTAGTGTAATTAAATAGTATACATACATGTATTATAATGCGCCTTTCGCTGAATATTCAAAAAGTGTCAATACAGAAGCTGCTCAGTTCTATCTATTGCAAAACATTACTCAAAGAAATACGTAATTGTTATTAATAAATATAACTACTTATCATCATGAGTGTGTAATGTGTGTACGTCCTACAAAATGAGCATCAGGAAATGCACGCTTGTTGGTACCTAGATGGCAAGGTTGCGTGTAGGTCACGTGTCGACGTAAGTTCCGGAAGGGGTTCCTAATTGTCTACGAGATGATCGTACGATAAAATTAATGCACCACTTGAACGACACGTGCGAACTACTCCGTTGTCGCTTCAAACCACCTCGTGATTGTCGCCTCCAGCAAACAAACGTGCCGCGAGAAGCAAGGGGTGCAAATCGTCGGCTGTTAATCCAATACGACAATTCATTGTTGAAATATTATTCTAATTAATTTGTTGTACTAGCTACAATGGATAAAAGGGGCAGATTCATATTACTACTAACTGGTTTGCCAGTCTATTGTAACTGGGCCCAAAAATTGATTCATCAGTTAGAGAAATGCATATAATTGAAATAAGAATATCTACTAATAAATTATAGTAATGTAGAGACGTTTTCGAATTCTTTATATGGAACTGTGCATACGTAATCCTAAAATGTAGCATTGTACTACAGATGGCGTTTACCGCGCCATTTGTGGTATTTTCTAAATCGTGTCTATGAATGCATGTATTATCTGTAAGGCTCTTTCAAAAATTGACCGCAAATTGGAAGCACTTGATACATACTAAATTAGTTATAAATTTCAATCAATATCTCTTGCTATTCAGAAGATTCACAGTTATATTCAACCCTCTAATTACTTTAGTTAATAATATTTAATGTAACATTGAAGCAACTGGTATCGTAATAGATTTTTGGGATTCTTTGACGAAAATCCTAGAGATATTCGAGAACATTCTTACTGAGAATAATCTAGAAGCATTCAAGGTCATTCTACGCATCAGTACATTTTCACTCAATGTTCTAAACGGGTTGGATAGGTTGTCAGTGGTCAACATGCAGATCCATCCCCATGAAACTGGAGAAGCCTCGAGCATTATAGAAGATTCCATCAGACTCTTTTAGAGTCAGAAAGCATCCCCATCATACACACATAGAGGCCTTTGAACAATCCTGAAGATTCTCGTACCTTCTGATTCAGTTCATTCTAGAACATTCAAACTGGACAATTCTAGATACATCTGAAAACATTTTAGTTGAGAATCACCTTAGAAACATTCTGGCACTTTCTCACTCATTCTAAAAGAGTGCTTGGTGTATAGGGGTTTACTTGTAAGAAAATGGAGAATAAGTATCGAAAATTATAGGACCATCTCAACATCTTTTACAAAACTCCGATCGAAATATGAAATATTCTTGGTCAACCATATGCTACCCCCAATGCTCATTATGAGACCCTCAAGGTGGTAGACAAGTACCAGTGGTCTGCCCTAGGTAGTTGTAGCTGCAAAGCAAAACGTACGGTAATACTAAGGAAGATTGGTAGTTCTCTAATGATGAAGACAAGTCTTAAGTAATTAGATTAGGATTTGTAATTGCCAACAGAATCCAAACGTTTTATAATGCGAGAAAAGGTGATGGATTACTTTAAATAATTGTAGACATTAATGTTAGTTCACGTTGTATATTGTTTCGGTTAATGTTTAGTAATAACGTAATGCACCTAAAACGTTTGTCTTGCACGAAAACAATTGTCATCAGATAAAAACAAAAACCAATCACAGTTTTATGTAATACTGCAAATGAAGGAAATTTGTGCGACATTCATTCAAACTGGTGTAAAAATATACTGGTTGTAAGGTATTTTGTACAATTGCCTAAGTGATTAATTTTAGAAAGTGCTTGCGTATTGATCTATGAAAATAGAAATTGATGTACTAAATAATAACTGGTAAAAGTTATATTTATTAAGTCAGGTGTAGTATTTTGATATGTATTTATGTATATGTAGACACATATACTTGTATAGAAACCTTTTGCAAACAGTACTAAAGTGATAAAAAGGTGTAATTTTTTTCTTAAGATTAGATAAGAGAAATAAGCGAAAAATGCATTTCTTTTGTGTTACTTTCATGATACAGCAGTATTCGGGAGAATAAAAAAAAAGATACGGTACGATAAAATAATTTTTAATTAATTTTATAATATTTACACCTGTAGAAATGTGCCAATAACTTATTTTCTCCGTGTCTTCACGCACGAAGCAACATGATTCGTATTTTCACCCCAAATATACGAGGGTGGATTGATAAGTTTCCGGCCTGACCAAGAAAAACAAGGTTTTTAAAAATTTTTTTTTTTTATTTCTCAACATAATCTCCTCCAAGGCTGATACATTTCTCATAGCGGTGTTCCAGTCTATTAATGCCATCTCTATAGACTGATTCGTCAAGCTCCTCAAAATAACCATTTACAGCTTCGATTACTTCTTCATTGTCCGCAAATCTCTTACCGCCA